ACCTTAAACTGGCCTGGTCCAGAGGGACACTGAACTGAAATCCATGTACTATTCAGATCACTGATCAACAGAGTGCTCTGGCTTCTCTTCTATCAGATAATTAAATGCTGATGAATTAGAAAACTAATAAACACTTAAAAACTTGAGCCTGGCTCCATGCGTGGATGTCTGTATTCTGGACCTGAAAACCTAATAATTTTGAAAACACAATAAAACAAACCTTTTACTAAGGCTTTAACCACTAATTGAGGTTAATAAGGTAGACTTTAACTGTATTTTTCTTTATGAAAAATATTTTCCAGTTAAGCCTACCCTTGGGGGGTTTAGTTATTTACATTTTTGAAAAACTAAAGCATGCCCAAATCTTTCGAATATAGAGCAATTAAAAGCAGGTGATAGAAAATGGGACTGAACTTGCAAATTAAGTTTTCTGCCTATCCTCTGCAATGGGAACGCTAACCCAGAAGTTAGGCTGCTGACTTCCTGCCTCAGACAGTGAAAGGTTTTTGCAACTCCACGGAATTGGGCGTGGAGGCGGGGGCTGATTGCGTTGAACCAGGACATTTCCAACTCTATGAGAGGAGGGCTGAGCTGAAACAGGGTTCCAGAGCACCTATATTTGGGAGACTGGTTGTAACACAGATGTTCATTTCCATTCAGGGTTTGTCTTATTTCCGCCATGAATGAGTTCCAGTTTCGAGCCAGGAGCTTCAAGCTGCAAACCATCAGCACCTCGAAGAAGTCCACTTAGAGCTGGGAGACGCAGATTCGAGAGCAATTTTCCAGAGAGGTTGTTGCCAACATTTGGGAGACCCTGTGACTGGTTCTTAAAGCAGCTGTCCTCATGCAGGCACTGCCAAATAAATTTGATAGATGTTGTTCCCAGGTTTCTGGAACTGTAAAGCCCGGCTTGGGTACCAAATCACAGAAAAATGGGTCTAAATTGGAAACATGCTGTTTTGTCATCACTACTCAATACAATGCACTGCAGTAAAAATTGCACTTTTGTTGGAAGCAGACTGAAATATAAAAAGTCACATTCACTCTAACCTTAGGGAAATTGTCGTGGTTTGAATCATACCTCTGCAGAGCAGAAGCCAGGTGGAAGTTGACTAACCAGTCATCAGAAGAATGTTTTGAATCACGATAAACTTTGATTGTATTACATTTTAAAGATGTATCTTTAAGAATGTACCTTCTGATGACATGAGAACAGTACAAAGGAGCTTTCTTAGCCTAAATTCCCAAAGGTCTTGACTGACTAGGATAAGTTTTAAATCTGCAAACGGAAGAGATAGGGAAAAATATTCTACTTAATTCAGTAATCTGCCTTACCAAGTAACCTGAAAGTTGTGTTTATATTTTCTTAATTACTGCTTTTACATTTTTTTTTTTTTGGAGAGATTTTCACTGTAGGGCGCGTGCGCTCGCCAGACAGACAGAGAGAGACATAGAGACAGAAAGCGAGAAATCACCCCCCAGGGGGGATGGTCACGCCGCAATCCCTTCTCCTCCATTCTCCTCTCGGGATCTTGGGCACGCACGCACACGCGCCCGGCGTGAGTTTTAAGCCACCGGGTCCGGGACACGAACCGCAGTCGACTACGTGGGAATCCAGTGACATAGCCATTACGCTAACTGCTGGTTCCCTGCTTTTACATTTTGAAATATATCTAGAGTCTCAAAAAGCGGCAAATATAGTGTTGTATATGGATGCTTTCTTGTTGATGGCGAAAAATTGTGTTTCCTCGAAAAAAAATAATTGGAGAAGTAATTTTGAAAGGCAGTGCATAAAATAATAATGCCATCTACATAGAGACATGTTTGAAAAATTCTCTATTGCCAGCTGTTTTGGGGGTCTGAGAAAGCTGACTGTTTTGTTTGTTATTGAGAAAAGTTATTGAGCAATACCAGTGGTATGTAGTTTGTTTCATTCTTTTTTATAAGAATTAAGTTTATTATTATTTTTTTTTGGGGGGGGAGAGGTTTATGCTACAGGGTGCGTGTGCTCGCCAGACAGACAGAGAGAGACAGAGAGATAGAAAGTGAGAAATCACCCCTAGAGGGGATGGCCACGCCACAATCCCTTCTCCATTCTCCTCTCAGGATCCTGGGCACGCATGCACACGTGCCCGGCATGAGTTTAAGCTGCCGGGTCCGGGACTTGAACTGAGGTCATCTACGTGGGAGTCCAGCGACATAGCTATTATGCTAACTGCTGGTCCCAAGTTTATTATCTTTTTAAAAGAATTATTTTACTTAATCTTATTCATTGTCATTATTTTATTTATTTATTTATTTATTTATTTATTTATTTAGAAGTTGACCAGAGAGAGAGGGGGGGGGGGAAGAAGAAAGCAGATTGCCAGGTCCAGGCCCCTAGCCACTGTCAGCCGTGTGGGAGTCCAGCTGCTTTAATCGCCACAGCACCTGCCAGCTCCATATTATCATGTTTTTTAATTTGACCAGAGAGACAGAGAGAAAAAGGGAAATTGAGAAAACAAGCTGCCAGGTCCAATACCTAAACCTCAGTCGGCCACGTGGGAGTCCAGTGCTTGAACTACCTGGCCCCAAGTTTGTCTCATTCTTTCAGATGAAACAACTCTTTAGTCAGGTGGTACTGCCTATCACAAGGCAATTTGCAGGTATGAGAATGCAGAGAAGAAGATCTTTCTGCTTATTTTACCAAGAGATCATAAATAGATGAGAAGGAGAATAGGAAGAGAGTAGATACCCACTTGGTTGTTTGGCAGATAGAGTACAATTACAATGTTGCCTCTCTCCAGGGCTGGCAGGTGGAGTGGTAGTTAAGGCGCACGACTCCCACCTGGCTAACTGCAGTTTGAGTACTGGACCTGACAGCTTGCTTTCTCACTTTCCCTTGCTTTCTCTCTGCTCAAATTAAATAATGACAAAATAAAATAAATAAATCTAAAAAAAATGCTACCTCTACTTGTCACAGGTCCTGCAAACACTCCAGCTTATCTGAATAATGGTAACAGATGTATATATGGTGTGTTTATTTGCAGTAAAGCATTTCCCACTAATATTTATCAAAAGATGCCTGTGAGGCAGAGATGTGATTCTGTCTTTCAGGTTACATTCGTATCATCCGGATGGGGCAGATTAGAAATGTAAACCTACATTTCTTTGTTTCCAAAGACTCTTACACTGAAGACGAAGTTTTAAATGCGTTGCAGTGCATGTGGTTTCGCGAGCTTCACGCAGTCCCGGCCCCAGCGAGCGCTCGGCGAAGGCACCTCCTCGTTCTCATTGCCATTATTACGGTGCCGTCTGGTTCTACCTCAACGCACCACTGTTCTTCCTCGTCCGTCAGGCTACCAGCGCCCCGGGCTACAGTAATAACCGTGCTGCTGGGACCATGCCTCCCTCCATCTCGCAGCTAAGAGGATCTGTTAAACAGGTAATTTAAGGAGTAAAAGGGGCAGAGCTGACAGCTGGTTTAAATTAGTCATTTGTCATTTCCTGCTTCTCTTTGCACTCACCATGACTACAGAAGCCACATGAGAGGCCACTGGAAGAAGCCTTTCTGTCACTCCTTCTGAACACAGGCCAGATGTGCCAGGGGTCAGCCCGGGGCAGGAAGTAGGCTGGCTGGGTCCGCTTCACACCCTCCCCAAAACTGGCAGACAGCTGTGCTGGAGAACTACGGCACCGGCAGCTTCAGACCGGTGTTGGGGCTGCAGGGATCTTCACCCTTACTGGCCATGCAGAGAAATCAGGTAGACCAGGTCACATTTTATCAATAATGAACAAATTATTGTTACTCTGCAGAGGAATACTGCACAGTCCACAGCTCCCAGAGTTCTGGAAGCAAAGAAATTAGACTTGGAGCAGGATCTTCACCACCACAGGCCTTGGGCTGCCTCACGGTCCTGAATAATTGTATCTCAACTATTGTTAGACAGCAAACTGCCCTAAACCCAGCTGTGACTACGGCCACTCAGTATTTCTCACGATTCTGTGGATACGAGGCTCGCTCTTCCCCTGACCTTGCAGAGTGTCCCCTGCGACTGCAGTCAGCGCCAGTGGCTGGCTGCGGGCCTGCTGGGCTGGGGTTACCATGGGGGCCCCTCTCTCTCCATGTTATTTTCATCCCAGACTTCTTCATAGTACAGCAGTCCCCGGGTTATCTTCCAGGAGAGGGAAAACAAATCATAAGCCTGTCACACCTGGCCTGAACTTGGTACATCATTTTTGTGGCATTCTGATGGCCAAAGCAAATTACAAGTCCATCTCGATTCAAGGGGAGACGCACGCATTCAGTGAGAAGAGGGGTGGCATTGTGTTGTTGCAGATGAGACGGGGAGACTTCCTTATGGCCCTTTGGTTGTGGCTTAAAAACCAATCCACATGGCTGACTGTGGTTTGAGTCTTGGACCTGGTGGCATGTTTTCTCACTTTCCCTTTCTCTCTCTCTGACTTGCTGGTCAAATTAAAAGCTATAATAGTAATACATAAAATTAATTAAATGAATAATTCTGGAAAAAAAATCCTGACCCAAATTGCAAAAATACACATGACCTGAAAGTTGCACCAATGCTGGTCTTTCAGAGGAGACACCTACTCAAGGTGTGGTTTACTTTGTTCAAGGCACTTCAGTACAAATACTGCATCGGCTATTTCTGAAGCATAATTGGCATAAGATATTACATATTTAACGCATTTGACGATGCAGAGGCAGTAAGTGGCCTTCTTATGGTGTCTATGCCTGAGTGCATGGAATCATTCATTTAGTCATGCCCACATGCACTCACTCATGCACGTATTTTACATACATTTCTACACAAAGGCCTCAGCTAGGCACATGAAGAATAGCCAGATTAATCAGACATCTTTACTTCAGGTGTTACCATTGATGATTACCCTTTCCTTTCTGTCTGTGCTAATACCAATAGGATCAATTCATGTAATGTAATTTTTTTAGTTAATATTTTTAAAACTCAGTTATTTTTTTTCCTTTACTCAAGAGTTCTTTTTGTCCTTTTCATATAAACCTTTACTAAGAAGGTTTTTTTTTTTTTTTTTGAGAGATTTTTGCTACAGGGCGCGTGCGCTCGCCAGACAGACAGAGACACAGAGACAGACAGCGAGAAACCCCCCCCCAGGAGGGATGGTCATGCCGCAATCCCTTCTCCTCCATTCTCCTCTTGGGATCTTGGGCACGCATGCACATGCGCCTGGCTTGAGTTTTAAGCCACCGGGTCCGGGACGCGAACCACGGTTGACTAGTGGGAGTCCAGCGACATGGCCATTACACTAACTGCTGGTTCCCTAGCCTCTACTAAGAAGTTCTGATTGGGCCAGCAGGTGGCGCTGTATCCCACCTGGCTGGCTGGCTGGTGGGAGTTCCGGAACCCTAGGTTAGGAGAGGATGATAGTCCAGTGTTCGAGCACTCCCTAAATCCCAAGGCAAGAATGGAGGAGAAGGAATTGTAGGGTGGTCATCCGCCTTGGGGGTGATTGCTCATTTCTCTTTCTCTCTCTGGTAAGCAGACATGCCTTAGCAAAAACAAAACCAAACAAAAACCAAGTTCTGACAGAATGCAAAACTAAGTCTCATGGCCCACTCCACATGTAGACACCAGGAACACTGTCTTCTTGAACGTCAAGCAATAGTAAACATTGAGAGAAAGCCAGAGATTGACTCGAGCATTAGCTAGGCTGCAGAGCTATGACACTTCAGTAGTCAGAGTGTCCAATGATGGCCCACACACACCTCTGGGATTTGGGATTCTGCTGGTAGAAGGCACAAACTTGACCAACCTGTGTTCATTATTTGTTCACTTACCCAGAAAATCTTTGTTTTCACTTATGGGTGAATCCTGTCCTAGGTAAGGAATATTGCAATGAAAGAATAAAAAGACAAAGTTATTTTCCTCCTATAATGTAAATTCTAGTTGAGGAAAACAGATAAATGCCACGTGATCTCTCAGGGAATGATGAACCATATAAAGAAATGAAGCGGAGCTCAGGGTGAAGGGAAACTAGCAGAGACTGAAAGGGGCCGGACGGTGTGGTAGGAAGAAAAGAGGCATTTTGAGAGGAATGGCACTGGTTTCAAACACTTCTGGAAGGGTGAGGACTGAGGCTGGCCACTGTATTTGCCAACATGGAGGTCACTGAGAGGTAGAAAGAAAAAGGAATTTAGTCTGAGTCCAAGAGAAGATGAGATGAGAGAAATGGAAGACAGAATATCAGAAACTCCTTTGCAGACATTTGCTAGAAGAAATGTTGAGAAATGGGATGCATATTAGAGGGAGTTGTGGGTCACAGGAGAATTTGATACGATAAGAAATATGATAGCACATTTGGGTTGGTGAGAATGGTCTGGCACAGTGGAAAATCTGAACAATGTGGAAGGGAGAGGAGAAACTGTTGCATGATATCCTGGGTAGTTGAGGAGAATAGGTTCTTCTAGACTAAAGATTCATGTCAGTAGCTCCATACTTTTCTGGTTTAATCTTCAAAGCCCTGTCCAATAACAAGTATTTTTAATTTCTGATTCAAGGCAACAGGTATCATTGAATTTATACATATAACCATTCTGCCACAAAATAAGTAAATTCCCAAATATTTTACAATTCCAGAGGGGTCAAGAAGGGAGAAAAGTTCTCAAGTAAGCCAATGGAAGCACTTGGAAAGATGGTCTGGCACCATGAACAGTTCTGCCTGGCAGAGAAGATTAGAGAATCTTTGTGAAAGAATTCATACCATAAATAGCCTGGACTTTGCCAGTCCTGCAATGTCATCAATGCAGATTGCAAAAGGGCAGTCACCACCAGAAGATTATCTTGAGGAGGACTTCGAAGGAAGAAAAAGAGACTGATCTTTGCTAGCAGATGGTCTATCACAGAATGCTTGGTAGGCGGGGCTGAATTGAGAAGTTTCATGTGTGAATTGTGTGCTGGGTGAATTGTGTGCTTTTCAACAGTCTGAGTAGTTGACACATAAATATTTTCTCAAAAATATTTAAAATCATACTCTCTCTGTTATAGAGTCACAAACAAAATTATAACAAATATTTTGACTATCTTTAAATTCAGTTTCTTGAATTTTTTTTTTTTTGGAGAGGTTTTCCCTATAGGGC